CAAATATGTACAATCTTATTCTAAGCTTTCCTAGCTTCGTTTTGATATATTATGGGCAAATTTTGGTTAAGAAATGAACCCGTTATTACCATTTGAAGTCTTGGCCATCACTTTCCAGATTCATGTGGTTGCAACACCAACCGGCCTGAGAAGAAGGAAAAAAAAACCAAATCCACTATCCAAATCTAGATCCAAACCCGGGACCCGGCCCGACCCGACCCAATTCCAAAATGAATATGGAATATTCTTTGGAATATTTAAAAATTAATTAAATATGGGACCAACCCTACAAATCCATCCCCTCACCCTTCTTCCCCACCCGTCTCCTCTACCACCGTTTCTTGGGCGAGCTTCCCAGGTGAGTTAACCACAAACTCCAGCAACAAGCATCATCACCACCATCGTCGTTCCACTACTCTCAGTGCCATGAACAGGACCCACCTAGAGTTCATGTTGTTTGGCCGCCGTTCATGAGGGTGTAGCATTAGGGATTAGGGATAAATTATTTTGGGTATTTTATTAGGGTTTTTGAGTGAGCGAGAGTGACACTTAGGATTGGAAACAATTTTGTAATTTGTAAACAAATCCAAGTGGTGGAGGACATTGAAATGGGTGGTAAAGCTTTAAGCTTTTTTATGGCGTAATAGAATACCAAAAGTAATTTATCCCTATTTCCTACGGAATCCCAAGTGTCCCCAATCCCCAATAGAATGGTGGTAAGATTTGTAAAGCTTTAAAGTCCTCCTGCCTTCTATGCAGTATGACCTGCCGGAAAAAAAAAGACGAAGTTGAGGAGGAGAATGAGGAAGAAGAAGATGAGCAAGATCTGGATGAGGAACTCCAACGAAGATGGGTGGGGAGTGATGGACAAGGAAGATGGGTTGGACGAACTGGGAAGATTTAATCAGCAACGAGTGAATCGACAGACACGCAGCTGAGATGGTGGACGAGGGAAGAAAGGTGAAGGGATGGATTTGTAAGGGGTGGGTCCCTCTTCTTTAATAAAATATTTAAATAATTTTAAATTTAGTTTTTGAATATTTAATTAATTTTTAATCCAAATGGACTAGGAAGTGGACCCGCATCAAGCCACGTTAGCATTTAACAGAGAAATTAACAAAAAAACTGATGGAGGTCTAACATTGCAACAAATTTGTAAGATGAGATATGACATTGTAATTTTTAAAACATGAGGTATGAGATTGTGGTTCGACCAATAGTTGAGGTAGTTTTGTGTAATTTACCCTATTATTTATTTTCTTCAACTACCAAAACCCCTTACACCGTCCATTGTTGAATAAAACCCTAACAAATGAAACTACTAACACGTTGATTGAGAAAAATTATTTATGACGAATGGACATGAAATCGATGTTTCGGAAGCTTCACATGAGGTAAGACTTCATATTTTCCATTGTTTTATTGATTTCGACGATGTCAATAATTATTTAATCCTGGTTTTGTTGTGTTATTTATAGGGGTGGGTTAAAAAAACCGAAAACCGAACCGAACCGAAACCGAAAAAACCGAACCGAATTGAAAAAACCGAACCGAACCAAATTAATTAAATTAATTTTTTTTATTTAATTATTTGTTTTGGGTATTATTTTCTAAACCCAATTTGTAAGTTAAAATGTGCTAAACCCAATGTGTTGCCAAAGTTTAAGCTCAAAATATTAAAAAAAAGGCCTATAAAAACTCTAAACCCTAACCTATTATTTCTCCCCCATATAAGGTTCCGGAACCAAACCTCCTCATGAAGTACCTACATCCATCTCCATAGCACTGTCTACTTCTGCCCCAACTTTCTTTTCCAAATCTACTCTCATATAACATGTAACATAATCCATAAACATTTATTTCGGGTAGATTACTTGGGTAATTTGTGATGGAAAAGAATCCGACACACACTAAATAAATCCACTCACGCATTACTTTTACTAATCAAGTTGTCAACATGCAACAGCAAACAACCCTGATCTTTAAACAACATCATACAATTTAACTTTTCTAAGTCATTTGTACAATTTTTGTGTTGTGAGGTTGTTAGTTTGGACTTTGGAAGACTTGATTGAAGATTTTAGTTCAACTTTAAATGTTTATTTTCATTGTCTTTGATTCTAGTTAGATAGCTTATGTTATAATTGTGTTGGATATGTTAAAATTTAAAATTTCAATGTTTTTCATTTTTTGAAAAAAAAACAAAAAACCGAAACCGAATAGGAAAAAACCGAACCGAAAAAAAAACGAACCGAAAGAAACCGAAAAAAATGAAACCGAACCGAAATTTCAGTTTGGTTTCGGTTTTGGCAAAAAACCGAACCAATTTAAACCGAACGCACCCCTAGTTATTTAAGCTTATGTGTTCATATTCATCTTTTAGAGATCACATGGATTACATAAAGAATTAAACGCCTAAAATTACCACCAAATATTAAAAATAGACGACATGGGTTTTAATGGTGGAATTTAAAACAAACCCACATATGCTTTAAATCCCAGGCAACATCTTTTGTCAAAATTTTAGTCAGCATTTTTTGTCCAAATTAGAAGCTTTATTGATCATTTGCATAAGACTACGCCCCCTTACCGATTAAAGTATAAGGCTAATATTGATATTGAGTTGTATGATTTTAGCAAATAATTGAGGTGTATGATTCTTAATAAATAAACGAGGATTTGATACGATTTTTTATTGTATTTAAACAGGATAGCACACAAGGCAATACATCTACAGGGAACACTGAGGTTGCAACAACGAGCATCATTGATTACACAAATGCATTTAAAACAGGCACGGTAACTATTTTTAGTATATTATTAAACTCTTATAAATGGTCAGACTTTGTTTCTTGTATTCTATACTTTTATTGGTTCTTCAATTATGGTTAGATTTCCAAAGTCTTTAATCCATCAAGGATTCTGTAACAAGATTCATTACTAAATATGCATCTGTGAATTTCATGGAAACTCTAGCATTCTTTTATGCAACATATTAAGTTCATAATAGGGAATAGCATATGGGTTGGAATCTTAGCATGTCTACAAACATTTTGTTAATGGCAAATGGCAATGATCTTGTATGGACATGTGTTCAAAAGTAAAAATGACTTGCTTGATTGGACTCGCGCACAAGGAAAAAAGAATAATATGGTTATTGTCATCAAGAGGTCTAATGCATGAGGGGTTGACTAAAGGAGGAAGAGAGCTCAAATAACATTTGCTTGTGAGAGACGTGGCGAGTACCAATCCACATTGAAGAAGTCTGATATTAATGACCAAAATTCTGATGCAAATAATAAGAAGAAAGAACCTAGGAATACTGGTACTGAAAATGCGGATGTCCATTTATGTTGAAAAAAGGAGTCAACATTGGAGAAGGAGATGACTGGAAATTGGAGGTTGAGTGTGGGGTGCATAACCTTACCTATTCACAATATCTTGAAGGGCATTCTTTTGTCGGACGATTAACAAAAGAGCAGAATGAACTTTTAGTTGACATGTCTACAAGTTTAGTGAGACCCAAAGTTATTTTGAACACCATGAAGAAAAAATATTTACTTAATGTACAACAAGGACATTATACAACCCAAGACACTATTAGCAGACAAAAGAAAAAGCAGGAAGATCAGAAATGCAACAGTTGTTAGGTAAGTTGGCTGAGTACAACCATATTGAGCATCTTCGAAGTACTAGTGTTGATAATGTTGTTAGTGACTTGTTTTGGACTCACCCAATTAATGTTGATATCTTACATTGTTTCCCACATGTGCTTATCATGGATTGCACGTACAAGACTAATAGGCATCGTTTTCCACAACTGGAAATTGTAGGGGTAACTTCAACTGATATTACATGTTTGGTTGCATTTGCTTTCATTGACCATGAGAAGGAAGACAATTACACATCGGCATTGACAAGATCGTGTGGAACAATTTAAGCTATTACCAAGTCTAAATAATGTAGCCACCATCAAAACAATATGTCTTAATTGTGACTAAGTTATGTTTTAGAAATTGAACTAAAATATATTGAATGCCAGGAGAGAGTACATTTTTAAAAAGAACGTTTTTTAATGGTTATATTCAACTAGGCAGTGGTTATAATGAATATAGCATGGTCATGTCCTTCCGGGAGATCATGATCTGATTGTAGAATTAATGAGGGCAAAAGTCATGGCCCCTGAAGTCCTACTCAATCTCATAATTCAAGACTTAGCACTTATGACTCTCATAATTCAAAAGCCATGGCCCTCGAACTAATTGTAGAGTGAGTCAATGGCATTTGGCATTCATAAGGTGCTTTCTTGCACTACTCAAAGATGCTTTCTTACAGGTCGACTTGGTTCGACCAAAATATGCACAAGAAAATGGAAACAGAATGGTAGCTTTGAAATCATTATTATTATTATTGAATAACGTTCAAATCAACCTAAACAATTTTCAAATCATTCAATTTGAAATCATACGGCAACCTAAACGTTCAGATAATTTGAAATCACTCGGCAAACTAAATGTTCAAATGTTTAGATTCAATCCCTGAAAATTAAAAATAAGTGTTATAAGATTTGAGAAATGTGGAGTGTATAGAAAATATGGAGTGTATATAGAAAATGTAAGGAGTATATTGAGAATATGGGGTGTAAGGATATTATGGGAAAATACATGTTAAGATAATTTTTAATTGAAAAAGTAAATATAGAGTGTATTAAGTAGGTAAAGTTTATTCAATAATTTATAAAGTGTTAATATAATAAGGCAAAATATTTTGTTTACGCCGGATATAAGACTTTATTTTCCAACATATAAAATCTCGTCTCTACATTAAAGTGTGTGTGCATGCATGTATTAGTATACGCGTACGCGTGTCATATCTATGTAATGCCACAAACCTGAATATAATAGGAGTTAAGGGACAGGTGTTAAGCATCAAGGGAAGGAAAGCATGCAACCTCATCATCTCAGACTCTCTCAGCCTTCTCTTCTCTCCAAACACACACACAGTATATGGTGGCACTTTTGCAAAAGACAACTCAATCGCCATCAACACTTAAATCCATAAAAGTAAATATTGACATAGAAAAAACCTAAACCCAATTCATGGAAGAGAGTAGAAACAGAAGCAAAAATGGGTCAAAGGGAGGAAGTGACGATGACGATGTGGTTGATGGGTCAAAGGGAGGAAGTGACGATGATGATGTGGGTCAAGGAGAACTGTACTCTCCTGCTTATTCCATCAACGTGAGAAACAACAAAGCAAACCTTGATGCTAATGTGGGTCAAGGAGAATTGTACTCTCCTTCCCATGCCATCAAAGTGAGCAATAACAAAGCAAACCAAGAACCATCGTCGCTGCTGCCGTCGTCGATGGGATTGGGTGTGGCTGCAGACCATATAAGGTGGAACTTGGGGGCCATCAAGGACAGACTGTTGGAGAAGGTGGCAGCTGCTGCTGTTCCTGCTGATGCTTTGGACAGTGCACGCCACTTCTTAGAGAGTGTCGTCAAAGATGTCACTGGGGCTGCGCATGGAATCACCAAGGATGCCTTGCACCGGGTCAGAACACATCTTGTTGACATTCTACCCTCCCTGTCTCCTGAAACCACGAACAAGGTCTCTCTATCTCACATCTCTTTGATACTTAATTACTTACGAGTGCTTTGTCATACCAGCGATGGTGGGAGGGTGAATGAAATCGAAACTAGGACCTCTTTTGGGTTTTAATCATGCGTTATGAATGTTATAGTTACTCTTCATAACAAGAGACTCACGACTTCAAATAAATGTTCTCTTGCCAAGAACAAATACACATATCGTCGACGGTAATAAATATGAACTCAACTACATATTCAGATAAAAATAATATAATCTTAACCCATAGTCTAGATTTACAGTCTAGTAATACATCATATATATGAGAGATTTTTCAGTGTGATCAGTACACGGGATGGTACATCACCTGTCATTATACAAATGGTTTCTCCATATATATTGCTAAAGAAAACTTTTTTTTTTCTTTCAAATGAGTAGTACTCTTATTTGAACCGTAACACCATCAAGCTATATACTTGAGATCTAATTTGTGCTAATTTGTTTAAACTGTTTGCATGATAATTCTGAGGAGAAAGAAAAGAGAAATGTGTGATTGTGTGTGTGTGTGTGTGTATGTGTGTATTGCAAGTATAATAAACATATTCTCATTTACTTTAGATTATGACAGATGGTGGATGAGGCAGAAAGGGAAGTTAATAATATTGGTGGAGGTCATGGGAGAGAAGATGAGAGGAAGAACGAGGAAGGACGCCAAAGAAGTAGAATTTGAAAGGTCCCCTATGCCTCGCCCACTTCCTCTGTATTTTCTACATCAAGGCTTTGATGCCTCTTTGTATATAAATAATACAATGTCTGAGTAAACATGCATAAACTCTCATCCCCAAAAATAAAGAAATTTTCCTTTCTTCCTTGACAAGGAATGAAACTGAAAGCTATACAGTTTTCTGGTTTTCGAAAACTAAATTTAAGGCCCGTCGTCACCATCTTTAATTAAATTGCAAATATCTGAGCACTCCACCAAACTGCAAAATATCAAATTTTACAGAAAAAAACATTAGAATGGGGTATTTACAGATACAGATGTTAGATCAAATACATGAAACATATATATGGTTGTTGATGAGGATATGATGAAGCTTTAATGCCTTTTGTACAAATGTTTAAAGAACAGAAAAATAAAATAAAAATGGTGACCGTTAATTCTCAGTTGCAGAGTTTAAATTGAAGAGGAAGACGTACCAATATTGCCGGCTTCTAAATCCTTGCTTGAAAACAACTATAGGCCTGCGGCATGACAAGATCATCAAACACCAAATGTAATGGCATAAGATTTAAGAAAGGCAGGGAAAAAAACACATATATAGCTGAGCAATCAAGAAAGCAAAATACTCAGAATTCCGAAGTCATTCCTCTTTGCAGACAAACTGCAGTTGAATACGTGGAAAACAAAATTTGTTTTTGTGATTTTAGTGTTACGCGCGCATAATTTGTTAGACTGCAATTTTCATGTGGAATGACTCTTTACAGTTACGGCTGAGCATGCCTATTAAGAAACATAATTTGAAAAAGAAAAATATTTGTACCTCCTGACATTGAAGGGGCCTTCACCAGGTGAGCCCTCACCGCCTCTAATGCAGGTGGTGACGCACTTAATTGTGCAAGACTCTGCCTTTCTCGACTTTGGTCTTTGAATCCTTGGTTTCTTGCAATCCTTGGGCAAAGCACACTCTCCAGACAGTGTCTGGGGAATATTTTCTAGAGTCTCAGATTGCTCAGGAGACTCAACTGCACCGGCAGAAGCTAAAACTGCAGCAGCTGCAAGAAACCCTGCAGTTGCTAAGAGAAAGCTTCTGCTTCTGCTTCTTCTGCTGCTGCTGCTGGTGGCTTGGGAAGTGCTTCTGATGGTAATACCATTGGCTTTGTTAATCTTGTTGGCGATGTTGGTTTTTTCAAGTTGTGGTGGGATTTTATTGAGAAGGAATGGAGAAGTTGGGACATAATAAATTAGCATGTTCTTGTACAATTCTGGAAGCAGTATTTCTTTGAGGTAGGTTCATTTCAAGCCAAAAGAGACCAACTGCATGCGATGAATGGATTCTCAGATTTTTCTTATCCATTCAACTTGTGTGTGTGAATCTGTGATATGGAGTCCTTGGCCAAGAGTTGCTTTCCTCTGCTGGCTATACGTGTCAACTATGCTAACCTCAAGATATGTGTTTACGTGGGTAAATTTTGTGTGCGACCGGAATATGACTTTATATTCGTAATTCATTCACGTGATCTGACAGATGAAGAGATATATATTTTCGATTGTATGGCAGAATCGCTTGTTTACCATGCGAGAAAGTTGCAGAGACTCACTGCCGCATTGGGATGCTTTGCTTTCGGGATTATATTACCGTTGAAATTTAAAATCTTCCACCTAAACCCTAACCTTGTTTTTCCAGTTTTCACGTATAAAGGCATTGTTGTTTTTACCTTCCATTGAAAGGAGGGTATCAAGAAATTCCTCCTGTGTTAATCAGAAACTGAGCTTTGTAATTAAGCATGTAATTGTAGTGCTTGTTATATACACGTTCGACCCGATTCATGACAACGAACAATGCAAACCCATCTGGGCATCTACACATGAATTTACAGCACGAAAATGTTGGCATGTATGCAGCTTTACAAATGTACTCTTATCTTAGGAACATTAGATCATCCGTGCTCCGCACGATCAGGTATTCTTCTCTAGAGCGGACAGTGCCGGTGTCAGATAGTTATTGGCTTTGTCAGGCAAATGCGCCACCTGCAGAGGGAGTTCGTAGAATCGAAGTGGTTACAAGCTTATATTTGTGGTACATATTTGTTTTCAATATACAGAATCTAATGAATCGATTTTTCTTGGTCCTTACCAGCTCATAAAGTTCCTTTCCTTGATCGGCAACGTATTCATAACATACCTGGAAAAGTTTCAATATCTGCTTAGCATTATGTCAGTTGAGAGTAATATAGTAACAGCAAAAAGATTTTCACCCACATCAAAGCTTTTGTTCCTTGCAGTCGAATCATGCAATGCCTTCACGCAGATATCAGCTACATCGGCACAGCTGATCCCCTGATTCACAGATGCTAGTTTAGGTTAGATGTTCAATGATGTCATATAGAAACCAAAAGAAAAATCTCTGTTTTCGTCAAGTGAAAAGGGATCCAGGTGATTTCAATTAGTACATAGTAGATGTAGCAAAACTTTTAATACATCGATCATTCTAACCTGAGAAATCCTGTTTCCTTGATCGAATATGAGAGCACGTTGTCCACCTGGTTCTTCCTGTATAAACCAAACTGATTCTCATCAGATAGGGGGAAAACCAAAATGTAGGGGGGGGGGGGTTGTCGTGAATTGTAGAGTAAGAACTCCACCTTCAGGGGACCAGGACGAATGATTGTGTATCCAAGCCCTGATTTTCGCAATGACTCTTCCCCAGCCTGGAGAAATTTCAACAGTAAAATAATTAACGAAGTTACAAACGAAAAAAAGGTAATCTGTTCACTGAGTGACAAAGAGGAAGATAAAGAGCTAACCCTCTTTGCTTTAAGAACCTGCTCCCTTCTATTAGGTTCTATTCCTGATCCGGTACAAGAAACTAAAACGAAGTCCGTTTCTTGCCCAGTCTGCAAAACGCGTCCCATTATCACATTCGGTTTAAGACTGTAAAATTTATGCAATCCTAGTCTCTGTATACAGTTCATACAAATAATCATGCATGACCATTACTCTACATATGTCATCACTAACTAAACCGTCCATTCCATCTCATTAACCACACTTAATGGATAGTTACATAGCTTCTCAATGCGAATATCCAGAAGAAAACATTAGTATTATCTTTAGCAAACCATTGATGAAAAAGGATTTATAAAAACGGTTATTTAACTTCGAGGTCAGAGCGGTAGTTGTTAATAAAATGATTCAACGAAAATTTTCTTCAAACTCGGACTGTCAAAAATGGGTTCATTGGTAGAACGATCAGTTTTGAAAGGGTTTGACTTTTGGTTTATAACTCATTGATGAAAACATTGGCTCTCATAGTAGAAATGTGAAAACGGGGAACCATTAGCAAGAATCACAAGCGTACTCAAGGGACTAAGAGTTCTATGTAGATATTCACTCTGTTATGGTTAAAGCCTGAAAGTGTTGAGCAAATTTTTCAGCATTGAGATATTCAAGTGGTGTTGTAGGAGCTAACAGAAGACTTGGCACAAAACCGAGCGTAGCAGCGTTCTAAGATTCATACAGCCAACCCTAGTGGGATAAGGCTTTGTTGTTGTTTTTTGAGATTTTCAAGTGAAAAATGCATAAACGTTTAGAAAATACATGTACGGGAGGGAGTCTATCTGGTCACCAAGAGTAAGAAAGAGAAATTCTTGGTAACAGAACATAACCTAAAATAACCAGAAATATAGAACATAAACCGATATACCAATCAGCACAACTCAAATTAAAGACTTACTGGCAAAGCTTTTATGTATTCTAGTATAAGCATAAAACTTCTTGGGTCTTGCTGCTGCACTCCCGTACGTCCTTCAACAGCTTTCTGTGCGAAGAAATATTAAGTAGATTCAGCAAAGATGCAAAGAAATGTATTCATCAAACAGACAGAAAAAATAATTTACATTGTTTTTGGATTTGAGGAAAACATATGAAACAAATTCCTCGACTTATCTCACACACACAAAGCAGAAACGTACAAACCTGTCTTCTGGGCTCAAAACGTATGGTTAATGTATGTACAAGGAATGGGTCTAGTGGTGGATCATCTGGTTTCACAGGGCGGAATGATGAAAACGGTACTCTGACCTGCCAATTACAGAGTAAAAGAATTAGTGAAAGCATATATTGCAACCATTCCACAAAAGAAACAGAGATGAGAAAAGAGATCCTTACCCTACAAAATCCTGCTTTTGTGTTGAATCTAGAAAAGTATAATTTACTTTGAGATGTATCCGCCGAAGGACCAGCTTCAAGAATTAATATGTAAGATCTTCCATTCCCACCAACAGAAAGAACTAGACCTTCATACCTGTACATTGAAAATACAAATAAGCCTTCACAGTTTAGGTGATGGATGTTCGATAAAGAATCTATCATAACCAGGTCTTAAGAAACTCCATTTGAGAATGCAAATATTGCTTACCTGTCAAGGGTTCGACCCAAAGGAAGCGAAAGCTTTTTTGACAGTTCAACATACCCTCCTCTGGTGAAAACATATCCTACATGCAGCAAGAAATAGAGTGAAAAAGGACTAATTAATGCTTCCCATTTAGAATCTCAAAACCCCCCTATCGTAGTTTCTTTACCGGAGAAAACAGCATCTCCGGTGAAAGTGAATTCGAACTTGGCGTCCATTCCTCCATCATACTTAGACGCAACCACATCCTGAAAGTAAGTCCCCTGACGAACTTCCCATCCATCCACCGACTCTGTAGTCTTGAACTTTACAATAGTAAGTTTGCTCTTGCTACTCTTTCCTGCTCGTAACTGTGCCATTTTGTTGTTATAGTCCTGCAATGCAAAGAGTCAAAAGATTCACACAAGCAACTCTCGGAGGGCTAAATTTAAATCCAACATTTGAACCAACACAAGAACTTAAAGACATCAAACCCGAAACAGATTACTAAATGTCAAAAAGGAGCATTTCAAAGATATGGGCAATAAGGATCACACCTGGAATGCTTTGGTGAGGTTGTAGACCCCTCTTTGATCAACTCTGTAGAGGTCTCCACTGATAGTAGAACGTGCAGTAGCACAATAGATAATCTTGTTACAGCCCTGTACCGCCGCGTATAGGGTAGCAGGATCACCCACATCCCCGGTCACAATCTCTACCGATCTCGGCAACATCTCCACCACTTCCTGATCAGCATTCCTCACCAGCGCCTAATTCATCATCACACAACACATTACATACAATAAAACCCAAATCGCTCGTAGCTAAGTTCGTTAAGAGCATTAAACCCATTAACAGAAGTTCCAAGTTTGATTCTCCCCCTTCCCCAATATCGCTTGTATCAAAACAACAAAACAACAAAACAACAAAACAAAAAACAAAAAACAAAAAAAAAAAACCAAACCCGAAAACCAAATGAAAAAACACACAAAAAGAATGTAAAAAATTGGACAGAAAGGAGCACCTTAACAGTGTACCCTCGGAGCATGAGCTTGCGGACCACTATCCGGCCGATACTCGAGGTGGCGCCGACGACCAAGACGGTGGTGTTCTGGGCGCCGGGGATGACGAACTCGCACATGGGTCCTTCCCTGATGAGCAGAGCGTCAAGCGCGTCTCTTTCGTCGGGAAGACTGGTTCTTGAGATCTGCCCGAGGCCAGAAAACTTGCGCCACACTTCATCGAACAGCTGGCGCGACCTCCGACCGAGCCCGACCGGGTTCACGTCCTCCAAATCCAATCCCAGCTGCTTCTGCTTCTGCTTCTGCTCCTGCTGTTCTTGGATTTGATTAATTGGGGAATCACTTTTCTCCTCAGTAGAAGCAGGATCAACAGTTTTGTTCTTGGTTTTGGTTTTTTTTCCGCCGCCATTGTTGGTGGGTTCGGAGGAAGGTCCGGCGGCCCTGGGAATTAACAACGAACGGTTTCGGGAGGCGATTGTGAAGTTTTGGGAGTTGGGTTTTGGGATTGGGAGAGAAATGGGCCTCCGCCATTGGTAATAGTGAGTGATGTTATTTTTACCGCCGCCGCCGCCGTTGCCATTGCTCAAGCTGGTGGTGCTGATGGCTTTAGTGACGGCCATGGTGGTTTAGCGCCAACGAACAGAGCCGTCCGCGAATATTCAGATTCTGGTTTTTGCTGTTAATTTTATTCTGTTTTGTTATTGGATAATTGCTTTTATTTTTTTAATTTGGTGAGAAAATAATGGAATAAAATTAAATAGTTGGAAAATGGGAAAATGAATGGTGGGAGTTTTGAGTTGGACATATCGGAAGAAGGTGTGACAACTGACAAGGATTGAGATTTCCAGCACATACCACATATCCACACACACACACATAATTTGGGGTTTGAAAAGAGAGCTTTTCATGAGACAAAACGTGCCACGTTGAGGACCCTTTTCCCTTTCATTTTGCTACTGCATACTTGCCCTTGGGTTCATCCGAGTAAACGCACTGTCACACATTTTAATTTTTTTATCCGATAATGTCGATATTGTGTTTTAAGTTAGCACGCGATTTAACTTTTTCATTCAACACTATCTTCACTGCGTTTTATGTTTCCCACATATCAATGTGTGAGTAACTTGAAACACGATGATATTTGTAGCACACAGCGTAATAGGCTTCAAGAAATTCTTGAGAAGCCAAAACGCCAAAGCAAACCCTATTTACTGCAAATCTTCTTGTTTGCGTTCATTGATTCACCGTTGAGTTGCTCAATCATTTGGCTGAAAACAAGAGAGGGAGCGCAAGGGAACAAATACATCATTGATTAATTCAATCATCTAGCAGAAAACAAGAGAGAGTGCTGGAGAACGGAGAGACAACCAACTGAATTCCGGTTTTGAGAGAGAGAGAGAGAGAGAGAGAGAGCAATGTGAGTATATCGTACGACTAAAGAGACCAAATTTATAAACTAAATTATAAAATGAGGGAATTATTCCTTCCATTGATAAGAACACAATCTACAAACAGAAGACCAGCATAACAGAGGGAGAGAAGGGGCAAAAAAACATGGATCTGAAACTATCTTCCCTCCCACATTTCTTCCTAACAAGCCATTTTAGATAAAGATTATACTACACTAGCCACTTAAATAATTGCAGTCCACAGTTTACACGAGGATAAAATCAAAGAATCACCAAATCGAGCCGCACTGAGACACGCATCACTATCTGCTTCACTCGTACGGGGGCCATACTTAGCAGCTGTCGAATAGAGCGCGGGCGCTGGTTGACAAACTTCACCTTTCTTCCTCTTAGGGAGACTTCAATTGTGAAGATCAGAGCCAAAAAATTGTTCCCTAAAACGTGAAAACAAACAACATGCTGTCCTGCAAAATGCTTATCCTTCTAACCATCTAACCCCACTTTTGCTGTCACCGCCTGGTTCCCGCTAGTGTGTTAGCTGAGCAGAAGAAAACTATCGTCCCCGTCGGTATTTTCTTTGTTCTCCAAAACATCTGTTTCTATATGTACAATTTGGTCACCCAGAACTGTTGTGTAGCTCAGCAGCTCTCTGTCTCATCATCTCCATCACAGCGGCTCTTCTTCTTGAATCAGACTGCTGTTGCAGTCTCCTCAATGCTCCTTCAAATCTCTGAAAACATACATTTATATAATAGAATCAACAATATTACCCTTAAGAGGGAGGGACTAAGGAGAGGAAATTAAGAGAGAGAAAGAGAGAGAGTCGAATGTCATAATAGAAGACAATTAAACCACGAACCTGCAACGCGGCACATGGCACTCGGATACTTTGCAAGCTCGAGCATGAAGTTGAAGAAGATACCACATTTTCTTACAGAGAACGCATCCTCCAGATGCACGGACTTTGCATTGAATTCCATGGCGGAAAAGTCCCTTCACCTTGCGGCAATTGGGGTACTGACATTGTGCAGAACGACACTGTGATGCATGCACCAAAAGATCAAGCATTTTCCGAAGCTGCAAAATTGAAAACAGTGTTATAAGAACCACATTGGCATCCTAGCCTTTCCTCCACTAATACATCCATGTTCAACACAAATCTTCAATTATGTAAACACAAATATAAAGCACCTGTACAACTCGCATTTGCCTAGCTTCTTTGTTTTGTGCATCGCGATCAGCGATGGATGGATGATTTGTCAATTTATGATGATGATCTACACCGCCTTCCTTCTGATAACAGTTATTGCATACATCGTATTCAGGGCAAACTTCACAACGCCAGCCTTGACCTGTTTCAATGTCGAGATGACATATATTGCATGTTGTCACAAACGCAGGAGCAGTCGGGTTATGAAGATGGTAAAGGACCATCATAGAGGAATGTTTAGCCCGCCGTAAAGTATCATACTGATAGTGATTCCCTTGACAAAGGCTGAGAAATGCCTGTCTGGTGTCAAAGAATTCACTCTCAAGAATTTCATCTTTGTCCTTTGTATCCACAGGTACATCAGTAATTTGAAACTGCAACATATAAATGATGTCAGTACTAAGTAGTTTTTCTGAAAAAAGTACAAAGATCTTGCAGAGCCATGAGAACTGAAGCTAGAACCAAGGACAATTCACATACAGGACGCAATTCATGCTTTTCCCTCTGATTGATAGGGTGCCTCTCTCTTTCTTCCCGTTTTTGCTCTGCTTCATAACACCTGTGGTCCCATGTAAAGTAATTAGAACAAAATCAATTGGCAAACCTTATTCCATAAAAAGATAAACTTTGATGTTAAATATTCAGTGAGAAGTATAAAACAATATATTCAGTAAGAAACTTCTAGTGTAGAAAAACGCAAAAAAAATTCAACTTTCTGAACTGAGAAGGTATAATGGTCAAACTGTCTGCGAATTCTAACAAAACCCTGAGCAACAATACCAGAACCTTCACCCATTCTTCTCCAAACAAACTATAAGCACAATTTAGTCATATATGAACGAGTACACAGTAAAATAGGTAATACAAACAAAATTTAATACAGTATTAGGAAGCTCTGAAGGGGAGGGAGGTAACAGCAGAATGCAGGAGTTCAGAATCTTACTTATCACAAAGCTGAAAATTTCTGCATTGAGTGCAGGACCAACGGTTTCCTGATACCATTAGTATACAACAGTGAGAGCATGCGTACTGCAAATGAACCATGATGAAATCCTCCTTCATTGGCGAAATGGTTTCACCAAGCTGAGGGAACATAAATATAAAAGTCAGCATAAGAGATAAAAAGATAAAAAAATTATCTCTAATTCTTTTTTTATCAGTTGTACAAAGTGCAATTAATCTAATAAAAATCTCATCCTACTGAACAGCTTTCATATATTGATTTACAGGTAGACTTCAAACACTATTCTTTTACGAAGACTGATAAATACTAAAACAAATTGAAAACCCTGAACTTATTAGTGCAAAAAACACTGAATATCTAGCCGAAAATCCACAAAGGGTGAAAACAATAATGCAGTTGAAAGACTAAAATTACTTTGTGCATTAGAAGCAGATCCTTTGACGCATTAGCAGAAAGATCAGTTTGACCAGATGCTTTTAGAGCCCTTTTTGTTATAGTCTTTTTGGTCGATCCTTTCTTATTCTGTTTTCTCCCGTCCTCTTCTTGACGCATCTGATAAATCAGATCCTCGGCTGCACCAGGCCAGTAGTCACCATCAAAATAGGGCAGCCTAGCTGCAGTGACTTTGGCCTTGCATTCAGCTGTGGTTACAAAGAAATGGTCATATAGATTAGTGAGTTCAGCAACAATGCCCTCCTTGGCAGCTTTCCTAAGCATTGCCAAATACCTGAAACAAAACACAGAGATAATAAAATGTAAGAAACAGGATAATTGATTCTAGAAATAACTGCAACACAATTCACAAAATTCTATAAGCTCACCATTCACGAAGCTTATCAGATTTTGGTGTTTTCTGAATCTCCGGATGACAATATAGAATATAATCTTCACCCTTCAACGGAGGGCAAGCCCATATATAGCAGCTTGTAAACCCTCGTAGCTTGCAATATTCAAGGTACCCAATCTGAAAAAGGGAATGCTAAACTAAGGCCAATAGTTTCAAGAGAACATATCGAACTAAAGAAAAGATAACATGAAGAACAAGATCACTGAAAGCCTAAGCCTCACCAGAATTTCATGATAAACATAAGTGCGGAGAGCCTCTCCCGTCACCGCTTTAACCTCGGGCCTGAAATACTTAACAGAATCCAAGTACGATAGATATACACGGCGCTGATTCGGAAACTGGCTTTCAGCTCCAAATTCTTGAACATACATGCCAAATAGGCATACTTCTACACCTTCAATTTTCTGAAACAACAATACAACCTAGAGGAAAATATGTAATTAGCATATTGGAACCTTTTCCTGTTACCCTATAGCAATACAGCCCTTTTCATTATCAGTTAAACATTGATTATCTTCCTACCTTAGATTTATATGGGAACTCTGTTGGATAATTTTCTTCCTGAAAAATTTCAAGAAACCGCTGCTTTACTTCCAATTTTTTGTCAACCGATGAAACAACCCTGATTACAAGCGATTCTGCCCCAGGAACCTAGTAGCACAAAGGAAAGAAAAACAATCAGCCAATAATCACATTAAAAGAAAAAACCTTTCCAGTTTTCCACTTTTGAAAGTCACAATACTTGTTTCAGAAAACCATATACAAACATTAATTCATAAATCAAAGTTTCTTTCAATTCTATGGTAACTTTTCCTAGAAGTGCATTATCAAGTATATGTTTCTATTTTTTTGGTAAGAAACATAATTTTATTAAAAGAAACAGAAAAAAACAGGGACAAGGTGTCCACTGCTCTAGCTAGAGAAAGTTAGCCAAAGATTTTAACAAAGACTGAAAAGCTAAGCAACCGAGATACATGGTAGCATAGTAGCATACCAACAAAAGCTAATGTGCAGCTAAATTCCAATCATACAATATACAATAGACTGAAAAGAACTATCCCTAAATTATGAAGCCGCCGATGCCCAAAAATGAAACACTGTCCTATAGAAGATAAAACTCAAGACCACAAACAATGCAATTATATACTTCTATTAGGCTTAGACGTGGTAACTGGTCCTGCCTCCAAGTCCTTAAGGGGAGCAGCCTTCTGTAAAAGTTTACGAAAGGCACGGAAACAAGGCTTCAAACGCAGGCCCTAATTTGGCACATGGATCATGTTAGGTCAACTTGGAATCTTGGGTA